GCAAAGGACCTGGCCCCATCAGTTCCTCAGATGGTCTCCGACTATGGTCACTGTTTCCATCCTGTGCAGCCTGGCTCCAAGTGGGCCCCACTCTCACTGGCCCAGCCTGAGAGCCCCGCTCTCCTGTCCTCCTGTCTCCCTTCTTGTCCCTTGCACACTACAAGGAATACTGCCACGGCCGTCCCACTAATCACCATCCCCCATCTAATGCAGTGTGGTCCTAGAAATTATTTCCATCCCAGGGCCTCAAAAAGAGCTTGAATTTTATAAAACCATCACTTGTCCTGCTGGTGGACGACGAAGTCCCCGAGATCTTGTGTCACTCCAATTAACGTGCACGGAGAAGTGGCCACTGGTCTCAGCAACGTGTAATCTACCAACCTGGCAGGGCGATCGGCCAATCAGGACTTGTCCCCCAGGCACACCCAGCATTCCGGGACTCACCTTTCAGTATATAATCCGTCAACAAGCTCGGGACTTTTCCACTGTCCTCTTTCATGGCACGAAGAACTGAAAAATCAGAGGAAAAGAGGCAGCCACTTAGCATGTAGGTTACGAAGCGTATTTCAGTGTAGCCTCCATTCTATGGTACCTCCAATTCATACACTGGCAGACTCTACGCAGGAAAAATAGTACAAGAACAAAGGCATGAGCGTTTACAGCTGGAGCTTGGATAACCCGGGTCTGAGCTGTGGCAAGTTCACGTACACCTGGTTTTTTCTTCTTTTTTTCAATCACTGTGGAGCCAACCATCGGGGCGTGAGCCGCTCCTCCCGGCAGGCGGTGGCTCAGAGGACCAGGGTCCCTCGCAGCTCTGGTATCCTCATTCGGAACCGATCACCTGACACTGGAGGTGCCGCAGAGAAAAACCACAAGAAGCTGCGGAAGGAATGCGTCACCTCTGGACTCTGGACTGAGGCGGCCTGCCATTTCCAGAGGGATGTACAACGTAAGCGAAGCCCGTGAAGCCCTGGCTGCAGCGACGCCAGGGCCTGTGACAGCCTCCCACGCGGTGGGGTCCCTTTGGCTCCTGTGAGAAGGCGCTCTTCCGTGGGTGCCGTCTACAATCCACAGATAGAGCATGTGTTGGTCGGCGACTTGTTTTATCACGAAGGCTTCCCAGTCAATAGTAAGCGGTTCGTAGTGAAGTTTCCGGAGAGTCAAAGTGAGGCATTTGGTTTTCCACTGGGCAAGGGAGTCAGCGCCCCTAACGCTGTCTTGCTCAAGGACCAGCGTTATGGTGGCTGTCACGACCCCGAGGAGAGGACAGCCGGGGAACACGGAGGTACTGCCCTGACTTCAAAGTCCACAGCACCCGCTGAACGGGCAGTGTATTAGTCTAGGTACTTTGGAGAAACAAATCCACGGCGACTCAGGTATAAGAGAGAGTTTTATGTAAAGAAAAGGTGCATCACGAAAACATCCCAACCCAATGCTGCCCAAGCCCACAAGTCCAAC